CTTTGCATATGCTTACACTTTGCACGTTCGAGGATGAACGTATGTTTAAGTGGGGGAGATTGTAACGACCCGGCCGATCATTTTAAGAATTTACACTCCTTTCAACTATTTTAGGTCTTGAATAAATTCCTACGAGGTATTATGACTTGTGTGAATTATCGGTTTTGGTTTTAATGTATTTCGGAGTTAGCTTGGAAGAATGAATTACATATTGGAAAATTAAGTTAAAATAGTTGACCGAATGTTGACTTATGTGTAAACGACCCCGGAATAGAGTTTTGATGATTCGAATAGCTCTGTATGGTGATTATAGATTTGGGAGCATGTCCGGAAAATTCTTTGGAGGTCCGTAGTGGAATTAGGCTTGAAATGGCGAAAGTTGATTTTTTAGAAAGTTTGACCAGGGGTTGACTTTTTGATATCTGGGTCGGAATATGATTTCGAAAATTGGAATAGGTCTGTTATGTCATTTATGACTTGTATGCAAAATTTTAGGTCAATCGGACTTGATTCGATAGGTTTCGGCATCGAATATGGAAGTTGGAAATTTCATAATAGACTAAAGTTTCAAGTGAGTTCGCACAAGACCTAACTTCAAATGAGCATAACTCTCATGATACGAAGTGTTATATGGTGTATTACCTATCAAATAAAATATCGTTGAGTCTAGTTTCTAAGGCTTCAAACCGTTTGGCATTTGAATATTCCTACAAGAAGTTATGACCAAATTACCAAAGGCTGCAAAAATGAGATTCTGCGACAATTCTGCGATCGCAGAATCGAAAGTGCTTATGCGACCGCAAACTGGTCGCAGAATAGACTAGAACAACCCTGTTCTGGGCACCGATTTTTGCGACCATTTTGCGACCCGCATACCAATTCTGCGGTCCATTATGCGACCGCATACCTGCTTTCGGAGGGTTAATTTTTCTATTTTCATAACCCGATCCCATTTTGATAAATAGGCTTTGGGACTCATTTTGGAGCAAAAATCTGACATTTTTAGACAGAAGGTAGAGTTTTCTAGATAGAGGAAGAAGATCAAGTGCTTTGTTCATCAAGATCTTGTGCAAGCTTTGAAATCCAACAAGGAAATACCACAAGATCTTCACCCAAGAGATAAGGTTCTAACCCCTAGTCTTCAATTTCGAGTTTGGGTAAAGATGGGTGATTAAGATTATGATTCTTTGGTCTAATAGTATTATTTATACATATCAATAAGGTTTATGGAAAGATTGTTGAGTTCAAATGGGTAAAGATTGGGTTGAAAACTGAGAGTTCTCAGAAGTATATTGTTTTGGGTTGCGGCCTGTTTGAGGTGAGTATTTTATTTTAACTCAGTGGAGGCACTAGTTGCCTTAGTTATTTATGATAGTTGCGCGCTATAAGTGTGCATATATGTGAGGTTTGAGCCAATGTGCGAGCATCAGGGCAAGTATTCATACTTGAAAGAATGCTTAGGCTATGATATGCCTAGAGTTGACTGTTAAGCGTAAAGTTATAACGTTTCTCATGTTCGTACCTTTGTTGAAAACTATCTGGGCTACATTTGAGGTTGCAAAGAGGCTAATTCCCCTGAATAAATGGGGTAGTTACTATTTCTGCATTAAATTGCCGATTTGAAGTGTGATAGCAGACTTTGCATATGCTTACACTTTGCACGTTCGAGGATGAACGTATGTTTAAGTGGGAGAGATTGTAACGACCCGGCCGGTCATTTTAAGAATTTACACTCCTTTCAACTATTTTAGGTCTTGAGTAAATTCCTACGAGGTATTATGACTTGTGAGAATTATCGGTTTTGGTTTTAATGTATTTCGGAGTTAGCTTGGAAGAATGAATTACATATTGGAAAATTAAGTTAAAATAATTGACCAGATATTGACTTATATGTAAACGACCCCGGAATAGAGTTTTGATGATTTTAATAGTTCTGTATGGTGATTATGGACTTAGGAGCATGTCCGAAATTATTTTTGGAGGTCCGTAGTGGAATTAGGCTTGAAATGGCGAAAGTTGAATTTTTGAAAAGTTTGACCGTGGGCTTGATTTTTTGATATCGGGGTTGCAATCTGATTTCGGAAATTGGAATAGGACTGTTATGTCATTTATGACTTGTGTGCAAAATTTGAGGTCAATCGGACTTGATTCGATAGGTTCGGTATCGAATGTGAAAGTTGGAAATTTCACAATAGACTAAAGTTTCAAGTCAGTTCACATAAGACCTAACTTCAAATGAGCATAACTCTCATGATACGAAGTGTTATATGGTGTATTACCTATCAAATGAAAAAATTTTGAGTCTAGTTTCTAACGCTTCAAACCATTCGTTATTTGGATATTCCTACAAGAATTATGACCAAATTAACAAAGGCTGCAAAAATGAGATGTTGCGACAATTATGCGATCACAGAATAATTCTGCGATCGCGAAAGTGCTTCTGTGACCACAAACTGGTTGCAGAATGGATCAGAACAGCCCTATTCTGGGCACCAATTTTTACGATCATTTTGCGACCCGCATACCAATTATGCGGTCCATTATGCGACTGCAGACCTGCTTTCGGAGGGTTAATTTTTCTATTTTCATAACCGACCCCATTTTGATAAATAGGCTTTGGGACTCATTTTGGAGCAAACATCTAACATTTTTAGAGAGAAAGGAGAGTGTTCTAGATAGAGGAAGAAGTTCAAGTGCTTTGTTCATCAAGATCTTGTTCAAGCGTTGAAATCTAACAAGGAAATATCATAAGATCTTCACCCAAGAGGTAAGGTTCTAACCCCTAGTCTTCAATTTCGAGTTTGGGTAAAGATGGGTGATTAAGAGTATGATTCTTGGGTGTAATAGTATTATTTATACATATCAATAAGGTTTATGGAAAGATTGTTTAGTTCAAATGGGTAAAGATTGGGTTGAAAATGGTAAAAATCTTCAATGACTTTAATTGAAGATTTGAGGGTCGAGTTGATGTCGGAATTTGGTGAAATTTGTATGGTTGGACTCGTGGTTGGATGAGCGTTCATATTTTATAAATTTTGTCAGGTTCCGAGATGTGGGCCCCACAGGCGATATTTTGAGTTAATTTCGGTTTTTTATTGGAACATTAGTATTTTCTTATGGAATTAATTACAATAATTTGTATTGACTGAACCATAATAATTGTGACTAGATATGAGGCTTTCGGAGACCAATTCTCATGGCAAGGGCATAGCGGAATAAAAAATTACACGGTTTGAGGTAAGTAATAGTTATAAATCTGGTCTTGATGGTATGAAACCCCGGATTTTGGTATCATGTGATTACTTTAGAGGTGACGCACATGCTCGGTGATGGGTGTGTGGGCGTGCACCGAGGGGATTGTGACTTGGTCCGTCTCGTGAAAACTGTAAAGTTGAATAACTTGTTGTTAGCTATGTGCTCTCTATGTGTTGTAGAAATTTTGACTGTAAGTCATGTTAGAAACCATGTTTAGGCTTTACGTTGGTACTGTTGGGACCCACAGAGGCCGTGTACATGCTGAACTATCTGCTTAATTGTTGTTTTGTACTCAGTCACAGTTTACTTGATTATTTTATCCCAGTCTCTATTGTTCATTATTGATGCATCATATCATTGTTGTTTGGGCTGATTTCATGATTGTTGAGAGCCTGAGAGACTAGAGAGATTTATGACTGAGCGAGGCCAAGGGCCTGATTGTGAGATATTATACTATAGTACGTGAGTTGTCCGTGCAACACGTGAGTTGTCCGTGCGGATCCAGATATTATACTATAGTACGTGAGTTGTCCGTGCAACACGTGAGTTGTCCGTGCGGATCCAGATATTATACTATAGCATGTGAGTTGTCCGTGCATCACGTGAGTTATCCGTGTGGATCCAGATATTATACTATAGAACGTGAGTTGTCCGTGCAGCATGTGAGTTTTTCGTGCGGATCCATATATTGATACTATTGCACATGAGTTGTCCATGAAGCACGTGAGTTATCCGTGCGGAGTATAGTGCTTGGGCTGTAGGAACTCCTCCAGAGTCTGTACACTCCCAGTGAGCGCGGGTACCCATTGAGTGTGAGTGCTGAGGGATGAGAGCCGAGTGGTTGAGCTGTTGTGACGAGTTGAGTGACTGTTTCCATGAGAGGCTGTACTTGCTTTTCATTTGTTGTTGCACTTAGTTAATATCTGTCATTGTTGTGAAATTCTCTGAAAGATTTTATATCCGGATTACATGATCTTGAACTGTATAAAACTAATTTGACTTAAACTGCTGGAATTGAATTATGTCTACTCTGTGCTGGAATTACTGAAAATGATCTGTAACTGTGTAGCTCGTCACTATCTTCAGTTCTTTATTTATTATTGTTACTTGCTGAGTTGGTTGTACTCATACTACACCCTGCACTTCGTGTGCAGATCCAAGTGTTCCCGGACATAGTGGGTGTTGATTTTTTCGCACAGTTGATTTTCCGAAGATTCAGAGGTAGGTGCCGTATTTCGCAGACCTTGTCTCTCCTTCCCTATCTCCTTGTTTACTATATTTGGTCTCAGACTATTATAGACCGTATTTTCCAGACTTGTATTCATATTAGATGCTCATGTACTCAGTGATACCAGGTTTTGTGAGTGTTTATATTTGTACTTGTGAGATTTTTCCGTTGAATTTAATCATTATGTTTTCAAATTTAAAAGATATGTGGTTTATTGAGATTATAGGATTGCCTAATATTGAGATAGGAGCCATCATGACGGGTGAGATTTTGGGTCGTGACACTAATAGGACATTGCCACTTGGCAATGTAGAATGTAGCCCTAGATTCATTCATATTTGTATTTAATCCAAAGCATGTACTGCAAATACAGATACTGAAAATACAAGAGAGAAAATCTTCAAATAATTCTTCTCATTCTTTCATGGTATCAGAGCAGGTTTGATTCTGCTATCATTTCTGCTTTCTCAATCATAAATCAGCTTTCACTTTTCTTCTTCTCTTAAGCTTGTCTGCTATGAGTTCTTCACCACAGTCGGCTGAGACTCTAGCTTCTGGTACTGCTACCACAAATGTTCTTACACTTGCAGCTACCATTGCTTCAGGAGTGATTGACTCTACTCACCCTTACTATCTTCACCCTTATGACTATCCAGGGATGAACCTTGTATCCTCAGCCTTTGATGGAAAAGGATATGGAGGTTGGAGAAGGGAAGTTATCATTGTCTTGTCTGCAAAGAACAAACTGGGATTTATCGATGGTTCTGTTATCTTCCCTAAAACTGATTCTGCAATCCAGCAAGCCTAGGCAAGATGTAATTATATAGTACTTTCATGGCTACTCAACTCCTTGTCCAAATAGATAGCTGAGAGTGTTCTCTATTCACAGAGTGCAAAGGATCTATGGAGTGACCTGGAAGATAGATTTGGTCAGGCAAATGGAGCAAAGTTGTTCCAATTACAAAAGGAATTAAGTTCAGTAGTATAGGGAAATTCAAGTGTATCAACTTACTTCACCAATGGGATGAACTAGATGCACTCAACACCTTTTTTGCTTGTGTTTGTGAGTGTGAGTGTGGGGCAAAAGTCAAGAGCTTGAAGGCACATCAAGATGAGAGACTACTGCAGTTCCTAATGGGACTGAATGACATATTTATTGGGGTAAGGAGCAACATTTTATTGTCATCACCTTTACCTTCCATTGGACATGCATACTCCCTTGTGATTCAAGATGAAAAACAAAGGGAGATATATGCTACCCATGCATACCCAGGGGAATCTGCCTCATTCATTGCTACAAATCAATCAGGAAACTTCAGGAAATTTAATGAAAACAAGATGCAGAAAACAAGTTTTGAATCTAAGAGAAATACAGAAATTTGTTCCTATTGCAAGAAGCCTGGACATAGCATAGACAAGTGCTATATGATTCATGGGTTTCCAGCTGACTTCAAGTTCACAAGGCAGAAAAGGTTTCAGGTAGGTACCCAGGCAAACAATGCTTTCCTCTCAAATGAGAATAGTGAACAAGGAGCAGAAAATACTACAGGAGTTCAAAATCTCACCAAGGAAAATGTGGCTGAGCTGCTGCAGCTTCTTCAGCAGATAAAAATGGGACAAAACAGTGTAGGAACCTCTGATGCTGCAACAAATGTGAGTTGTGCTGGTATGACCAATTTCTTTGAAGATATTACATGTTTAAATCAAATAAGTGATGAGTCTTGGATATTGGATAGTGGAGCAACAGAACATATGTCTTTCAACAAAGAATTTTTCATAAATTTGAAAACCTTGCCAAAACCTCTCATGGTTAAACTCCCTAACTCTTACAGAGTTAAAACCACTCATTCAGGAACTGTAACCCTTTTGCCTAATCTGTTTCTGCAAAATGTTCTTTATATTCCATCTTTTAAATATAATCTATTGTTTGTGCACAAGTTGTGTAGACAACTCAATCAATATGTTTTATTCACTCCCTTTTCTCGTTTCCTTCTGCAGGTGTAATGACTCGACCGGTCATTTTGAAAGTAATAGTCCCGATCCCCTATTTACTGTTTCCTCCTTATCTTTTTCTGCTTATGTGAATTGCCCGGAGGTCTTGTTTTTGGTTTCGGAGTGATTTGGGACACTTAGTCCCTAAAACGGAAGCTTGAGTCTTAGAATTTTGACTGTAATCGGAACTGTGAGAATACGACTCCGAATGGAGTTTTGTCAGTTCTGTTAGCTCAGTTAGGTGATTTTGGACTTAGGAGTGTGTCCGGACTGTGAATTTGAGGTCTGTAGCTGATTTAGGCTTGAAATGACGAAAGTCAAATTTTTGGAGATTTTGACCGATAGTGAACTTTTTGATATCGGGATCGGATTCTTATTCCGGAAGTTGGAGTAGGTCCATAATGTTGAATATGACTTGTGTGCGAAATTTGGGGTCAATCGGACGTGATTTGATAGGTTTCGACATCGGTTATAGATGTTTGAAGATTTAAGTTTATTAAGCTTGAATTAGTGTGCGATTCGTGTTTTTGTTGTTATTTGATGTGGTTAGAGGGATCGACCAAGTTCGTATGGTGTTTTAGGACTTGATGGTATCTTTGGTTGAGGTCCCGAATGGCTCGGGTGAGTTTTGAGCTAGTTCGGGCTTTTCACACTCTAATGTTGTTCTGGAGTCTTTGGAAGTGCGGACCGCATATTTTGGGAGTGCTGAGGCAAAGGGGAAGTGCGGACCTCAAGGGAATTGTGCTGACCGCACAATTTTGTATGCGGCCGCACTTCAGGAATTCTCAGATTCGCTGGTCCGATTTCGGAAGCTTATATCTTTTGATCTACAAGGAATTTTGAGATGATTCAAAAACAAAAGTTGTAGCACTTCGTGTCTAGTGTCCAGAAAGGTAAAGAAGTCATCATTTGGACATTTGTAGAGAATGTTATGGTGAAAACACTAAAGCCTGGTAGTGCAGTCACCAAGAGTCCGAACGCACAATATTTGTGCGACTGTAGAAGCTGGGATGTGCGGCCGCACTTGGAATTTTGCGGACCGCACATTGGGAGTTCAGAGGATGTACTATATAGCCGAGGTTTAAGTTATTATTTCATTTTTGGACTTTGGGAGCCCGGTTTGAGACGATATTTCGTGGGTTTTTCCAGAAATTCATCGGGGTAAGTGATTCTAACTCGGATTTGGTTAATATACATGAATATATCACTGATTTCATCATTTAATTAGTACTTTGAGATGGAAATTTGGAAAGATTTGTAGATACTTCATAAACTACAAATTGAGGATTTGAAGGTCCAATTGTGATCAGAATTGGCTAATTTTGGTATGGTTGAACTCGTGAGAGAATGGGTGTTCATATTTTCTGACTTTTACCCGATTCCAAGACATGGGCCCGGGGAGGCATTTTAGGGCGATTTTTGAATTTCTTATTTAATTCTTGATTTCATTAATTAGATTGGTCTATTATAGTTATACTTATAATACGTAATTGCTTTTGGCTAGATTTGGGCCATTCAGAGTCAGATATTCGTAGAAAAGGCATTGCTATCAAGTGATTGAGCTTGGTTCGATGTAAGTGGCTTGACTAACCTTGTGTGAGGAAAATCCCTTTAAGATTTGGTACTGTTTGATATATGAGCACTGTGTACATGAGGTGGTGAGTACGTACACGGGCTAACTTTTGTAAAAACCTGATTTCTACTAAGTAATAACGTGTTTTCCTTCTTAATTGAGTCTTATTAACATCTGTAGTATCCTGCTAGACTGAAATAGCATGCCTACTTTCCTTAATTGTTTATCTGAATTCCGTGCAGCATGTTTAGTGGATTATCCTGTTTTTCCTTGACTTGTACTTAGTCTAATTTGTAAGATTTTGTGTTGTAGTTGTCGACTTCTATTATTTGAGCTGCATATTTACTTTGGGACTACGGAACGGTATTCCGGGAGATCCCCCTGTCTTGCATATTTAATTTGGGACTACGGAACAATATTCCGGTAGATCCCCCTGTCTTGCATATTTACTTTGGGACTACAGAATGGTATTCTGATAGATCCCCCTGTTTTGCATATTTACTTTGGGACTACGGAACGGTATTCCCGTATATCCCCCTATTCTGCATATTTACTTTTGGATTACGGAACAGTATTCCGGTAGATCCCCCTGTTCTGCATATTTACTTTGGGACTACGGAACGGTATTCCCGTATATCCCCCTATTCTGCATATTTACTTTTGGATTACGGAACAGTATTCCGGTAGATCCCCCTGTTCTGCATATTTACTTTGGGACTACGGAACGGTATTCCGGTCGATCCCCCTGCATATTTACGTTTGGGACTACGAGGCGGTATCTCGAGATATCCCCTGTTGTGTTTCTTTGTACTGAGCTGTTACCTTCTATGAATTCTTTCTTGTTAAATTTTAGTCTTTATTTACTGTGATATTTTATTCTTGCCTTGCTTTATTATTATTTATACCAGTAGGGTCCTAATCTGACCTCGTCACTACTCGACCGAGGATAGGCTTGGCCCTTACTGGGTACCGATTGTGGTGTACTCATGCTACTCTTCTTCACATGTTTTCGTGTGCAGATCCAGGTGTTCCTTTTCAGCCGCACTATCAGTGAGCCGGGACAGCTTTGGAGACTTCAAGGTATATCTGTCGTGTCCGCAAACCTCGGAGTCCCCTTCTACTCTTCCCTATGTCCATTATCTTCTGTATTTTTTTTTGATAGACTCTAATGTGTAGAGACACTAGATTTTCCTTTTTGTAGTTTGTGATTCACGATGTTCCGGGTTTTGAGATTTTTTGTGTATTTTTGAATAGTTGGTTATTATACATACCAAGCAGCATGGTACCCAGTTATGTTGCTATTGCTACAGTTAATTGTTAAATTTATGTTTTCATTTCATTATTCCGCAAATGTTAGGCTTACCTAGTCGTAGAGACTAGGTACCATCACGACATCATACGGAAGGAAAATTGGGTCGTGACAAGTTGGTATCGGAGCTCTAGGTTCATAGGTGTCGTGAGTCACAAGCCGGTTTATTAGAGTCTCGCGGATCGGTACGGAGATGTATGTACTTATCTTCGGGAGGCTATGGAACTATTAGGAAAGTACGCTTCTTTCATTCCTATCGTGCGAGCTTATTGATCTCGGAGTTTGAACTTTTATCATTCCGTTCTCTCGCAGATGGTGAGGACACGAACTATAGTTATCGATGATGCTGCTCCCAGAGAAGGTGTCGCTAGAGGCAGAGATAGAGGCAGAGGCTGACGAGTAATGCACACCGCAGCTAGAGCACCTACCAAAGCAACAGTTGAGGGGCTGCCAGTAGCTCCAGTTGGGGGGCAGATACCGGAGGCGCCTGCTGTTACCTCCGGACTTTAGGAGACCTTAGCAGAGTTCTTGAGCATGTTTGGTACATTGGTTCAGTCGGGGTTGATTCCGGTTGTACCAACTACTTCACAGACTAGGGACGGGACCCAGACTCCCGCCGCCTATACTCCAGAGCAGCGAGTTCACGTTGGTCAGGTTCCAGGTGTCATGGCGACACATCATGTGATCCCATTTCAGCACGTGGTAGGGATCACTTGCCGGGTAGAGAACATGTGGGTCTAGGAGAGAGAGGATAGGCGAGGTCAGTAGAGAGAGTACAGGGAGGCGAGGAGACCTCGTAGACTGGGGAGATCCACTGGTCCTTATTTTGGAGGCAGGGTACGGGATGGTAGAGGTTTTGTGGGTCAGCCAGTTCAGTTTGTGTTTCAAGCTTCGCACAATGTTTCAAGTGTTCATGGGTCTCAGGGTACCCGTACCGCACAATTCCCAGAGCCACGCCAGTAGCGAGGTTGTTTTGAGTGTGGCGACACTCGCCATGTGGTGAGGATTTGCCCCAGACTTAGGAGGGGTTCACCTCCATAGACTTCTCAAGCACCGCGTGCCCCACCGGGTCCTCAGGCCATAATTCCAGCACCAGTTGCTACCCCACCTGCTCAACCAGCTCGAGGTGGAGGTCGGGGAGGTAGAGGTCGCCCTAGAGGGGGAGGTCAGGCCAGATATTATGCGCTTCCTGCACGTACAGAGGCAGTCGCTTCTGATTCTGTCATTACAGGTATTGTCCCAGTCTGTCATAGAGGTGCGTCGGTATTATTTGACCCAGGCGCTACATATTCTTATGTGTCCTCTTATTTTGCCCTGTATTTGGGTGTATCGCGGGATTCTTTGAGTTCCCATGTTTATGTGTCTACTACTGTTAGATATTCTCTTGTTTTGGACAGTGTGTATCGGTAGTGTTTGATTTCTCTTAGTGGTTTTGAGACCAAAGCCGATTTATTATTACTCAGCATGGTAGATTTTGATGTTATCTTGGGCATGGACTGGTTGTCACCCCATTATGCTATTCTTTATTGTCACGCTAAGACCATGACACTGGCTATGCTAGGATTTCCGTGATTAGAATGGAGAGGTACCTTAGAGTATACTCCGAGCATAGTTATTTCATTTCTTAAAGCTCAACGAATGGTTGAGAAGGGGTGTGATGCGTATCTAGATTATGTGAGAGATGTCCGTATTGATACCCCTACAATTGAGTCAGTTCCGGTAGTGAGGGACTTTCCATATGTGTTTCCAGCTGATCTTCCGGGCATGCCGCCCGACAAAGATATTGATTTTGGCATTGATCTGTTGCCAGGCAGTCAGGCCATCTCTATTCCTCCATACCGTATGGCTCCTCCTGAATTCAAGGAGTTGAAGGAGCAGTTATAGGAGTTGCTTGATAAGGGCTTCATTCGACCTAGTGTGTCACCTTGGGGTACTCCTGTCTTATTTGTGAAGAAGAAGAATGGTTTTATGTGGATGTGTATTGATTACCGCCAGTTGAACAAAGTCACAGTGAAGAATAGGTATCCATTGCCTCGTATTGATGACTTATTTGATCAGTTACAGGGTGCCAGAGTATTCTCCAAGATTGACTTAAGTTCAGGATATCATCAGTTGAAGATTCGGGAGCCA